TATATATATATATATATATATATATATATATATATATATATATATATATATATATTATGTATATATATTATATATATATATATACATATATATATATATATATGAGAAGCACTCGGATTAATTAGCTTAGAAGCGCACAATACATGGACACTCTTTGTTCCCACTCGGGGCTGTGTTCCGTACTTGTAAGCCAAAGTGATGAGGAGTTAACGTTAACGTATTTGGTACTCGTTAGCCCAAGTGATGAGGAGTTAACGCGTTTGGCACTTGTTAGCCATATATAACAAGCCTCAGTTCGGTCTTCCTGCGCCCGATTTATGTCAGCGATTTAGCCAAAGTAAAAAGTAATGAGAAGTTCAAGTGAACTATTTGGATCGAAAGATTGGCCTGCGACGGTTAGCACGTAAACTCCAATACGGACCCTCTGTAGCGGACACGTGTCAGTACTTGTGTTGATGAACAAAACCATCGCAGGTACGGACGTATATGACTATGTTTACATGCTAACGGTGGGTGACGTGAGCTATATACTAGGATGAACGAACCCACACCAGTATAAACGCCGTATTTGTCGCCAGCGTATTGACATACACAAATCGACGAGAGGGTTTGGTGCTGTGATCACACAGGCCCTATTTAATATATAAGCGAGTTGTGCACGCCGCCACAACCGTATACTACCTTCGAACAGACTGATCCTGAACATGCAGCATACACAAGCTGAACTTGGGCCAAATATACATTTACTGAACTTGGGCCAAACATACGTAAGATGAACTTGGGCCAAACATACATATGCTGAACTTGGGCCAGACATACATAAGCTGGACTTGGGCCTGACATACATAAGCTGAACTTGGGCCTGACATACAGAAGCTGAACTTAGGCCAAACATACATAAACTGAACTTGGGCCTGAAATACTTAAGCTGAACTTGGGCTAGACATACATAAGCTGAACTTGGGTCTGGGTTTGTAAATATACACCTAGAGATTGTGATGTTTTATTTGTTGTGGATTTGGGTTCGGTGACGGTTGGATACCTGCGACTGTCGATCAGCTCACGTGCGGGTACCTGTCCTCCACACACTCACGTATGACATGACACCAGTGTACATCAAGTGTAACTTATATGACACAAGTGTATATATAAGTGTAACTTATATGACACCAGTATACAAATAAGTTAGTGTGCCAATCACGTGCACTGCCACAATTATTGCACTTTTGCACACAAACACATCAACTACAAGTCATCGAATGAGCCTACTGTGTTCGAGGCTGTCCTGTTTAATATTTATGTACACTAAATAGTATCCTCCTCCGTAGCTTCAACTTTATTAACTGTATATTTATATACACTAAATATTATTATCCTACGTAGCTTTAACTTTATTATTTGTATATTAATGTACACTATATATTATCCTCCTCCGTAGCTTTAACTATATTAATTGTATATTAATGTACACTAAATATCATCCTCCTCCGTAGCTTTAACTTTATTAATTGTATATTAATGTACACTAAATATTATCCTCCTCCGTAACTTATCCTTTATTGATTGTATATTAATGTACACTAAATATCCTCCTCCTCCGTAGCTTCATTTACGCCCCGCCGGAACCCTCACCGGACGGTTCCGCGTCGTTCCAAAGTCCGGTACAGCGGTACTGGGCTTACCCAACATCAGGCCTGCTTTATGAGGCACCGTCTCTTTACCAGAGATGGCGGACACAGCCCCTGTATCCTCGTCTATAGCATAGGGAAACCGGATCAAATGGTTATCCAGATCTACGCGCTGGTCCAGCGGTAGGTAAAACGTGTCCATATTCTTCTGCCCGTTGTCCTTGAGTGCCTGGCTACACTCGGCCGAGCACGGGTTGGCGTCACACGCGGCGTACACGGTAGGGCCCATATGCTCTGTCCACAGCCGCTTGCGGTGTTCGTATACCTTCCCTTTGGGTAGTGTGGTGGTGTTACCCGAAGCCGTGCGCACAAACGTAGGCTCGTGGGCTACTACGGCGATCTCGGTGTCTCGATCACCGTTCATGGACCGGTCGTTTATATTGGCAGACCCAATGATGGAGATGGTATCGTCCACAAGCAAGTGTTTGGAGTGGACGTAGATCATCTCGGCGTTATCTTGTGACATCACATCGTTGTACTGCCGATTTCCGGGCCAGAAAAACTGGAGATAGTCGGATATAGTCTTGTTGAACGTAGAGTCCTTGGCCTTCTGTGCGTTGATGGCGGTGGCTACAGTGCGTGTCATCATATCCACGGTCTGGGATTGCCAGTACATGATTTCCTGTTTGGGTTTGCGTAAATAACTTTAAGTAACTCATAAACGCCGAAATTGTGGTCGAGACTGCAATATCCGAAACAGAGTGGTTTCAAAATGCACGTGGTGACTAGTCAACAATAGTCTGACCAGCCACGAGTGACGCAAGGCTCTGTGTGCGTAGCTAGGCTAAATTACATGCATGTATCGAGGGTTTTTAGGGTTTTAGGGTTTACAGCCAGGTGTGCTTAGTTAGGCCAAATTATTTACATACCTGTGTAGACGCAGCCTCGGGGAGACCCTCGGGGAACAACGGTGTGGTGGCGTAGACACAGAACTCTTGACCGTCCCGGACCGCCTCAGTAATACGTGACGACAGGGCAATGGGTACCTCATTCTGGGGCATATTCTGTGAGGAGGGCCAGTACTGGGCTGAGCCCAGGAAGTACTGATTCTCGAGGTAGATGAACTTCTTGGCAGCCATGATATGGTGAATGTACGAGTTGTGTACCGACATATCGACGTTATACTCGCCCGTCGACATGGTGCTCATGGTCTTGGGGGTGGCCCATTCCGGGTTGGGGATGAAACTATTCACATCAATCGATCGCACCGTCTGCGTGGTCCAGGTATCATTCGCCGGGCACGTGGCCGTGGCCGCGAATGCCGCGAGGGTTGTGTAGTCAATCAGAACGCTATCGGCGTTCTTGGTATCCTCCTTCTTCTCTCTCTCGTGCCTCTCCACAAAGTTGTTGAACGCGTCCACAGCCCCCTGGTTGGTGTTGCGTGAGTGGATATCGTGCCACGGCTCGCGCGGTGTGACGCCGGCTTTGGCGTCGGCGTACGTGTTCTGGTAGTAGTCATCAGCGTCCACGTTCGCCGGTCGCCCTACCAAAGGATGTGATTGGTCGTCGTACCGTCCGGTGGTCAAATCAACACCCCCCACATACGCAATCATATCACCCGCTTCGTTGTCTATAAGCACTTCCTTTTGGTGGTGCGTGAAGGACACATCCCCGAAACTTTCGAGGTTAAACTGGGCCGGTATGCGCCGGAACGCTCGAATGGCTTTAACGTTAGTGCCCTCGAATGCGTCCTCCACCGCGCGATCGTATGTGGCGAATACGGGCACGGCATTACCCCAGACCATGACAACTACCTGCACACCCTCGTCGGCTTTCCTGATGAGCAAATCCTGCAGGGTCTCTCCAGGCGTGGGCATTCGGATCATACGCAGTGTGGGGTATACTGACCACCCGGTGATGTAGATAAACTTCTGGGCTGCGGCCATCTCGGCGTACATACGGTTCCACAGATCGTCACCTCCCATATCTGGGAATTGCTCCTCTAGGAAGTGTGCGTCGTTATAGAGACGGGTATCACTACAGGTTCGCGTGGGATAGTAGACGTCTGGAACAAGCAGCGGATCGGTAGTTTGTTTGTTGTATGTTGACCAGGGCTCGAAGGTCATATCGATGTTGAGTGTACCTGTAGACGATGGAATATCGAACGCGTTAGTACAGTATTGGCGGTTGGGGTTGGCGAATGAGTTCTGTCGCTGTGGTTGTATGTACGGGTTGGCCGTACCATACGAGGTCGTAATAGTTAACTGAGTATTGGTGAATCTCTAGTGCTATTATACTATGAACTTCAGATAGCCAATAAACTATGAACTTCAAATAGCCAATATAATATGAACCTCAAATAGCCAATATACTATGACCTTCAAATATATGCACGTTGCGGTTTAGTGTATCTCGCTTCGAAGCTGTAATACACTTGTGCAGTTAATCCGTCACATATTGGTAACACATCTGTACTAAATTGAATGTTCAGCCCAATTTTACCGTCACATATTGGTAACACATCTGTACTAAATTGAATGTTCAGCCCAATTTTACCGTCACATATTGGTAGCACATCTGTACTAAATTGAATGTTCAGCCCAATTTTACCGTCACATATTGGTAGCACATCTGTACTAAATTGAATGTTCAGCCAAATTTTACCGTCACATATTGGTAACACATCTGTACTAAATTGAATGTTCAACCAAATTTTAGGTTCGAATGACAAGCGAGCACCGAGTATGCGATTCAAATAACACGCTGTAGTACCACTTGTACCACTAAAATTGCTACTAGGAAGACATTTACAAAAACAACAAGCTTACCCTTATCATCGTCACAAACAATTCCCAGTGGAGTCACTACACCAGGTTGTGCTGCTGCTTGCGCAATTTGCGGGTCCAGTATATAGCAGTCGCGTGTATCGTTATCTGTGATTTGTTTTTTGTTTTTTTAGATTAGCCTAAGCCGTCAGTCGATGTCTATGGAAGTGGATGTTGAATCGATGATTTTTAGTTTAACGTCATCACTCATACCTCCTAAGAATATTCGTTTGCAAAAAAAACAAATCATCCGTGACGAATGATTGACTAGTGACACCTTGGTATACCTAAGCCAAGCAACTCTCCGGGAACACGTAAAAGAACAAGGCGTATAAACATAGCTTAGATCACAAACATGGGATACGTGGAGATCTATTCCCAGACCGAAGTACAAATACGCTGCACCCCTGAACAGCCAAAATAAGATCCCTCTGCGCATACCTACAAGACTAGTAGCCATATCGGTATAAATCAACTATATGTACG